AATTCTCCTGCCTCAGCCTCCTGAGTAGCTAGGACTACAGGTGTGCACCACCATGCCCAGCTAATTTTTTGTATTTTTAGTAGAGACGGGGTTTCACCATGTTGACCAGGATTGTCTCGATCTCTTGACCTTGTGATCCACCCGCCTCGGCCTCCCAAAGTGCCGGGATTACAGGCTTGAGCCACCGCGCCCGGCCTGCCTTCTGAATTATTAAAAAGTGTGTGTGTGTGCACGTGGTGTGTTCTGTGCCATGAACAATGAAATTCACTATGTACTTACCTTTCAAATAAGGTATCCATTAATGACTCTCATAATCCTTCTAATCAGAGTGTTTGCCTGCCTAGAATACCCCATCTCCTCACAGATGAGCTCTTCCAGACCCCAGGAGAAAGAATAACTAATCTAAACTCATGTAGTTGGTTGGCAGCTGTCAGAATAAGAGTGCAGGTCTTCTGAATCTTTTTTTTTTTTTTTTTTTGAGATGGAGTTTCACTCATCTCCCAGGCTGGAGTGCAGTGGCATGATGTTGGCTCACTACAACCTCTGCCTCTCAGGCTAAAGCAATTATCCTGCCTCAGCCTCCTGAGGAACTCGGATTACCTCCTGTGGTGTGTGCATGCCACCACACCCAGCTCATTTTTGTATTTTTAGTAGAGACGAGGTTTCACCATGTTGGCCAGGCTGGTCTCGAACTCCTGACCTCAAGTGTCTGCCCACCTCGTCCTCCCAAAAGTCTTCTGATTCTTGCATAGTGCTTCCTCCTGCAGCCTAGCGTGCCTTCTCACATAGGGAATGCTGGTAAAGAGCATGGACTGTGGAGTCAGAAAGATACCAACTCCAAGAACAGCTCCACCATCTTCAGCCTCTGCTTCCTGAACTTCCTTAGGTGTAAGATAGAGTTAGTACTATCCCTGTGCTCAATAAATGTTAGCTGCTTTTATTGTAACAGAGGGCTTGCTGTACATGAAATCACTATACTTTACAGTTTAAAATAGGAAGACCAAGAGTAAATCCCTTCCAATCCTAGTTCCAGGTTCCTTCATCCATGCAGTATGGTCACCTTTCTTTTTTTTTTGAGACAGAGTCTTACTCTGTCACCCAGGCTGGAGTGCAGTGGTGCAATCTCGGCTCACTGAAACCTCTGCCTCCTGGGTTCAAGCGATTCTCCTGCCTCAGCCTCCGGAGTAGCTGGGACTATAGGCACACACCACCATGCCCCGGCTAATGTTTTGTATTTTTTTTTAGTAGAGATGGGGTTTCACCATGTTAGCCAAGATTGTTTCAATCTCCTAATCTCGTGATCCACCCACCTCGGCCCCTCCCAAAGTTCTGGGATTACAGTCCTGAGCCACCTCGCCCGGTCACCTTTCCTTGGAGACAGCTTGCCTCTTTCCATCACCCCTAATCAACCATTCTATCCTTCTCTTGAGTACTTGTTGTCTTTTTAACGTTTCTTTCATTATTCAGTTAGCCTTTTTATTATTATTCAAATTATTCGTTTTTTCTTTATTTGTGTAGAAATGAAATGTTGGAATACAGACTGAGCTTGTAGTTAATAAATAGATGTTGATATATCTGTGAAAATGGAAACAGAGGCAGTCTATGAATAAATACACTTTTTCCATGAACTCAATCCCAGGACAAGGTGGACATTGTCCCTCAAAGCTTTTTTTGCCCTCAGTATGGCATGAGAAAAAGAGAACCAATAAATCAGACTGCATCTGCATGAACAGAGTTCACTTAGAAGCTAGCCAGGAATGCTAAATGTCCTCATCAATGGTTAAACCGATAAGCAACAAAGATATTCTGAACACAAGTTGCTATCATGGCTGAATTCCACTCTGCTCCACTAGCTAGGAACAAGAGTCAAGTGTCAAACCCAGAGAAACAGTCTCTGCATGGTCAACCACAGCACTAGCTGCACACCACTGATCTGCTCAGAAGTCACTTCAGATACAGGCTATGTTTGACAAGATTCAGGGTTTTGTTCTCTCCTCTCCTTCCCTTGGGAAGTTGAGACGGTTGAGGAGGCATTGAAGTTGAGCTCCATTGAAGTTGAGACGGTTGGGAAGGCATTCAGACAGTCATAAGTGAAAACCCTTTGTTTCTCTACAGGTGGTGACTTTCGACGCAGGGGGTGTAAGTGGCCACAGCAATCACATTGCTCTGTATGCAGCCGTGAGGTATGATTTTCCGGGTGATGGAGGTGGGGGAGGGTTTGTTCATTTGATTAGGGCTTATGGTTTAAAGTCTAAAGCACTTTCCTACTTTTTATCTAGCCCATGAAACTCACTGCTGGCTTATCATCAAGCCCTTTTTGGCCATGTTGCTGACTGCATCTTACCACGTCCTCTCTCTGAGAAATCTCTCTCAAATCCTAGTGCAAATGCTCATCTCCTGAACAGCTGAATTGTTTTTTACACACTGAATACTGCAAATGGGGTAGCTGACTTTATTCATCTCTTCTCTGTGGCCACAGGAAGCTTGAGGGTCAAATTGGCCACCCCTGTGGCACATGGACAAGACTTTAAGGAATGAGTGCTGTGACACAGTGCGCCTCCGGCTCCACCATCTTCTTCTTCCCTCACTCTGACTTCCTTCACGTATTTTATACAATTCTCAAATCTTTCTTTGGAGAAGGAGGATATACATATATAATATGAAATGCTTTTGTTCTTTACAGTCACCCTATTTTACTGATATTTATTTACATTTTACCAATAAAAATAAAATGTGGCCAGCCACGGTGGCTCACGCCTGTAATCCCAGAACTTTGGGAAGCCAAGGCAGGAGGATTACCTGAGGTCAGGAGTTCAAGACCAGCCCAACCAAAGTGGAGAAGCCCCATCTCTACTAAAAATACAAAATTAGGCTGGGCACGGTGGCTCACGCCTATAATCCCAGCATTTTGGGAGGCCAAGGCGGGCAGATCATGAGGTCAAGAGATCGAGACCATCCTGGTCAACATGGTGAAACCCTCTCTCTACTAAAAACTACAAAAATTAGCCGGGCATGGTGGCACATGCCTGTAATCCCAGCTACCCAGGAGGCTGAGGCAGGAGAATCCCTTCAACCCAGGAGACGGTGGTTGCAGTGAGCCGAGATTGCACCATTGCACTCCAGCCTGGGCAACAAGAGTGAAACTCTGTCTCAAAAAACAAACAAACAAACAAACAAAATTAGCTGCGCGTGGTGGCGCATGCCTGTAATCCCAGCTACCCAGGAGGCTGAGGCAGGAGAATCCCTTCAACCCAGGAGACGGTGGTTGCAGTGAGCCGAGATTGCACCATTGCACTCCAGCCTGGGCAACAAGAGTGAAACTCTGTCTCAAAAAACAAACAAACAAACAAACAAAATTAGCTGCGCGTGGTGGCGCATGCCTGTAATCCCAGCTACTCAGGAGGCAGGAGAATCACTTGAGCCTGGGAGGTGGAGGTTGCAGTGAGCTGAGATTATGCCATTACACTCCAACCTGGGCAACAAGAGCAAAACTCCGTCTCAAAAAATAATAATAATAATAATATTAATAAAATAAAAATAAAATGCAAACTCAAAGGTATTGAATGATGTTGAGTCACACAAACATGGACGTGTTTCCTGTCCCCTAGCAAAGTGCTTCTCCCAAGCCCCTGATCAGTGGTGTGGCAGGCCTGTCACAGCTCCTGAGGAAGGAAAGGAACAACTTGAAGGGAAGGACTTATTTTATAACCTTCTAAACATGCTCAACACTCAGACTGAGGCAATGCAATATGTAAAGTTGGAAATGACCTCTCCAACCATTAAGTCCAGCCACCTCATTTTACTGAGGCTGTGAAGTGGTTTGCCCAACACTGCAGGGTGAAACTATGGCAGAGGCAGAATTCAGGAATCCTGGTTCTCCATTCATTATTCTGTCAGATGCATGTGAAGACCAACCTAAACTGAAGAGCCTCCTTGTCCGTACATTTTACGTCACTTGGTGGAAGATGCTAGAATTTTACCCACATCCTCTTTCTAGGCTGCTTTCCTATTTCCTTGACTGTGGAATGAAGGAAGACTAGACTGCTCTCCCTGTAAAGACTATTCAGTTCCTGGTCCAGCCAGCGCCACAGCTTTAGAGGAGACATGTTTCTAGTTGCATTAGGTCCCTTCAGATTCCTGGTTACAGTGTGAAATAAAAATGTTTTTTGACAATATATGGAAAAATGATGCAGCCCCAGAGGGGTTTTTCCAACCACATGGTTACTCTGAGGCCTTGAGCCTCCAAGGCTAGCATGGACAGCAAGCCCCACGGAGAAATGGAAAATGGTCCCACCTCATTCTGGATGCACACTGAGCCTGGTGATTTCTCACCAAGCATTTACACTGCACCAGAGAAAGGATCAGGTCAGGTCTGTTGCAAAGAAACTAAGAATACCTCAACAGGCAGGGTGCTGGGGCACTTGAGGTTGAGTACCCGGTCCCATTCCTGGTCCAGTCACCACTGAAGTGGGGAAAGCAGAGCAGGTGTCATTCTGGGCACAGAATCCAAGGGAACAACTCTGTGTAGATAGAACTGCCTGGGGCCATTTTCCTCAGAAGAGGCTGGCATGCCACAGGCTCTCAGCATGAAGGTGGGCCACTGTGCTTCAAATAAAACAATTCATGGTCATGCCACCAACATACTAAGACCTTTTTCTCCACAGTCATCTCCTGTCTGCTAAATTCACTAGACTCACCTTAGTCCTCAGCCACTTTGACCTTTCTGTGGCATTTGGCCCTTCCTGTCCCTCATGGCAATGCTGCCTTGGCTGATATGGCACCAGCTTGCCCTCCCTACTCTGGCCTTTCTGGCTACTTCTCAGTCTCTTCCTGGCTTCACTCCCCACAGCGGCCCCTTGGTCCCCCTGTCCCCAGGGCTTGCTCCCCAGCCCTCCTCAGCACAGCTTCCTCTGTGGCTTGAAGGGCTGTAAGCTCTGTTTTCAGACAGATGCCTCCAGTGCTCACTGCTTTCCCTGGATATCAGAATATCTACAGGGCTTTGCCCAGAGTACAGGACAAGCCACCTCATTCTCAGAATCCCAGAAAGCTTTTTCAGGTTTTTCTCTCTCTCAGGCTCTGCCAGGCAGTCAGTTCCATGAGTTTGTCAATTCCCTCTCCACTTCTCTTCTTTAACCCCTGCTCCCAACAGTCCTTGTTCATGTGAGTATGTGTGTCTGTGTGCTACCTTCCCAATCCTTCTCTGTCCCAGCTTTCTAAACAACAAAGTGGGGAGAAGAGCTGGTGCTCATTGCAGTTAGTATTCCCCTGCTCTTAAGATGGTGAGCACAAGGCCGGGCGCGGTGGCTCAAGCCTGTAATCCCAGCACTTTGGGAGGCCGAGGCGGGTGGATCACGAGGTCAAGAGATCGAGACCATCCTGGTCAACATGGTGAAACCCCGTCTCTAC